TTTGCAAATTTACATCAAAAGGAGTATTTATAATTGATTTTAAAGAAATTTTTTTATAATGGAGGGTGGATGGGACCGTGTGGATAGGGTGGGTCTCCAATTCGCAGCAACCTCCAAGTTGGTGAGACCTGGAAATCATTATTATTTACTACATAATTTATTTTTGTATCCTCGATACAAATATAAATTTTATAGTATATAATATGAGCCAATTGGCTGCGTTCGCGATTAAAATTTTTTTTTTTTTTGTATTTATTATTCGTTTTATCAAAGTAGCATTTTTATTTTAGTTTTTAAAAAATTATGATGTATCATGTAATAGTTTTTTGTAACTCTTATTATTAAGTCGAAATATATTTTGTCAATGTTTATTTCTCTATTATCTTTCTCTTGTTTTGCAACTTATTTGATATATATATATGTATATTTATGAATAAATATATATATATATATATATATATATATTTATATAGTTTTTGTTAGTTGTAATTTTAGATAACATAAAAAATGGTTTATTTTTTTAGTAATCGGTATTTCAGAGTGAAGTCCCATGAGATTGTCATATGTATTGTATACTTTGTCGATTATTTCATATTAAAATTCGAATTTATTATCAATTTCATATCAACATTCAGTTTTAGTATTTAATTATATAATTAATTATTTCATAGTTTTACTTTACTATATCATTGATGTATATTTCTATAATAGTAAGGAAATATTGATTTTTCTGATAGTTAAATTTTAGGATAATGTGTATACCATGCGTTATGTATTAATTATTTTAGCATACATTCATTATAAAAAAAATAAATAAATAGTAATTTTGTTAATTTCTATGAGTCTATTTCTATTCTTTTTTGAAAGCTTCGTTCCTTAATTGAAAAGTATTTGATTTTTTTTTCTATTTTTATTTTTATTCTTTTTTGTTGTTGAAGAGAAAAATGGTTTTCATGAGAAGAATTATATACATTTTATTTATCTTATATGTATTTGTATGTTTATATTATACTTCACTCTCTCATTTTTTCTTATTATACAATAATTTTTATTCCAAATTTGTAAATTTATTTTCAAAATTTTTTTCTATTGCAATTCGAAAGAATATTGTAGATATCTATTATAGATATTTAATTGTAGATACGTTAACGTAATTAATAATTAGTAATTTATTTTTGAATAGAAAATAACGCACTAATTTTGTATAAAAAGATTGAGGTAGATAATCTTAAAATTTCAGAAGTTTCTCTATTTAAGCAAAATGTCTGCCTCAAATAGATTAATTTTTATTTTTAATGTTTTTTAATAAATATAATCAGTATTTAGGGGATAAATGCATTAATGTAAATGTAAGTAGTAGTGATTTATTCTAAATTTACAAATATAGTTTTATATTCTTTGTTAGGCATAGTGTTTTGTGTTATATTTTAAACACATCATTGCATTTAGCCTTTCATGGATAATCTAGATCTTTAAAATCTATTATATAGTTATAAAATAATAAATAAGATATTTGTTTTTTATAAATATAGCTATAGCTTATTATTACTTCATTCGGAGTCAAACATACGATTCGTTAGTCACAGTATTATGATATTATATTATATTAATAATTATATTAATAATATAAACACGATATTTTATACAATATTTTATCTTTCAAAAACATTGAGCTTTGAAAAGGTTATCATTGGCTATCGACATGGAGAATATTAATAGAAAAGAAAAAAGGACAAATTGAAAGAGAATTATGGTAATTAAAAAAGAGATGAAAAATTACAAAAAAAATCGGTGATTTTCTACAGGATATGTTACAGGAATATAATATTAATGTTTATTCTTCATTTTCCAAACTATAGGAGAAAATGTATTCCATCTGCTTCGTACGTACGTGTTTCAATTTATTTATTAAATTATTTTGACACAGGTTATCGTGTATGTCGTACAGTGAGAGTTGTGTGTATGGGCAATAATACCTATCTATAATATAATAATAGAAGTAGAATTAAAGTTAATCCATTTAAATACAAGTGCGACACGCGCGATCAAAGAGGCGTAAGGAGATAGAGAGACAGAAAAATAGTTGAATCTACGTCGCGTTCCTTTTTTTATTTTCTTTTATATTTTTTCTTATTTATTTATTTTTCCACTCCTTACGCTTCGTGATGCTGACATAACAGATAATAAGGAAGATATAACGAATTGTTGTCGATTTCTCTTTTGCTTGTATATATTATATAATATGTGTATGTATGTATGTATGTATGTATGTGT